CATAAATTTAATCTTATTATTTTTTAATTGCTAATCAAGTAGCATCTTCCACCTCCTAAATCAAATACCTTGATGAGCAGGGGTGTGATGAAAATTACCACTAGCGAGTTGGCGATCATACCAATCGAGCTGAGTTCAGTGTAGACCCGGGCGTCCCAGCGGTAGATCTTCTCGACGAACTGGAATAGAAAGGCCACCGGAGCTGTCCATACGAAATAGCAGCCAAACATACCCGCAATCACGAGCCATATCTGCGCCCTCACGTAATTGGGCCGACGTTTGGTCAAAGTCTGGGCGATTTCGCGCACATTATTCACGTTAAACAACAGCCTTAAGGGGTGTATGTATTCGGTGTTTGCGGCGAATTGGGCACTTTGTTCGGCCGTCCGGTCGGCCAGAAGTGGTCGACAATCGCCGAAATGGTGTCGAAACAGCTGCCGATCGGTCTCCTGGTTGATGGCGAAGACGGCCCATAGAAACGCTGCGAATGCACCCAAACTGCTGATCGCAAATATAAGCCCATAGTTATGAAGCTGTCCGTTGCCTCCCAATGGCGTACATGTTATTAATTTACCCGATGTGTACACTCCCAGCGGTTGGGCTGCAATACATTTCAATAATGTTAATTGTTTTATGTTTATATATAAAGTAATTTGCAGATAAACTTTTGTTATATTAGTTTATAAAACAAAAATAAGTATTAACATTGATTGTGAGCTTTAAGTTATAGACTTTAACAGTTAGTTACAGTTTATAAATAATTTTGTTGTGTAATACTACAATTTTTCTGTTAATTTATTATATTATATAATAGGAATTTTCTATGTACGATTTAAGTTCATTTTTACTATGTAAACTAGCAGGAGTTTACATTGAATCATAGGTTTTCAGGGAATTCCTATTATATAAGTTTAAAAATTAAAAATAATATAATTTATCTTAATATAAGAAACTTAATAATAATAATAATATTTATAATTGAAGACAAACCTATGGCTATTAATACTTCGAGAGCAGACATACGTAACGTACGGTATTTGGTAGGAGTGGTGACCGCGACATAGGAATAGGCGGTCGTGTATGTCATCGAACCGGACAGTGTGTACGGTATGAACGAGATTAAAATCCAATTGATATCTAGATGTAAAAACAAAACCACTAATTAATTCACTAACCAGATTTTACATAACAAAAACAGTAAAACAAATACTTGTAGTAAAAAAGTATGAATTAAGCGCATTCATGGCCGCCTCCAAGGACTGGGTGATGGAACCGATGATGAATATTGCTTTGCGGCCATTGATATACTTGTCAATCCAGGGGCCAAGGAATATGGACCAGACAATGCCCGGAGCCATTGTGATCCACGTGTGATACATGTTGTACTTCACGGCGTCGGACAATATCAGGGTCTTTATCTCGTGTCCGGTCTCCACGTCCGACATATACGGCAATTGTAGGCAAAACTCTTCGGACATATTATACCGATTTCTGCAGAGTTTGTCCTGAATTAGCACTTCCAGTGGTGTTCGACGAAAGTATTGACTGAACGCCAGAATTATCATAAATGGCTCCACTCTTAAGAGGCTTAAGAACCGGAAGAATATTTTGATTTTGTTTTTCATTTGGGTTTTTTTTGACAAAATTTTTTATATATTTTTTTAATTAAATTTATTAATAACTTATTTTTATCACATTTTTAGCACTCTGTTTGCACTTGAAGTTTATTTTTTATTTTAAAACATCTAAATCTTGGTTTAAATTGTTTTAAAATAATTCAATTACTGCTAATTTTGAGTGATATGTTATAACTGAGGGATGGTTTTCTTATATAACTGTTGCAAAACATTTGGTTTTTTGTTTTTACTTAATTGCTAAATACTTTTACACTTAATATATCGCTGCATAAAATGTTATATCTTTTAAATGCAATTAAAAGTATTTCAAAAAAAAGTTTATATTAAATAATAATCATATGTTTTTTTTGTGTGGTTTTACTATTAAACAAATAAGTTATTTAATTTTTAAGATAAAACTAGATGATTTTGGTTTAACTTACAGTATTATATTTATAGTTAACTAACAACTTATTTAATTGATTATAATTTATAACATGTTGTGATATATATTGAGTGAAAGTTACATTTCAATTTTAATTATAACTGTACATTTTAGTTTTGATTAAATGTAAAATGTTTATATATTTATTTTGCTTAGAACTTAGCATTGAAATAATTATCAATTTAAAACCCCGATTATAAAGTTATTTAGTTTACATTTACAACGATTGAGATAATGATGATAAATAATTGTCTGGTCGATAGGCGTACAGTATACAGGATTATACATAAGGTGTTGCTTTGTTTGTCTATTTACCAGTAATGATAAATCTGAATACATAGACCTTGTTGATTATTGGGGGTATAGTTTTTAAAAATCACAGTTACTGTTCACAACAATTTAAAATATTTAACTTAATTTATACATTACATAAGCATATTTTCTATTTATAAATTATGTTATGTTATTAACAAATATTCTCTATGGTAATAAATTATCAGTTGTTCAGTGGTCTTATATTTATCAGTGTTTTATGTAAATTGTCACTAATATAAATAAAGTGTCACTATTATGAATTAATATTAATAGTTAAAAACAATTACCAAGCAATAGCAAAATTTGTTATTATACAATACAATCTTTGTAAAATTTATTGTCTATAGTTTATATTTTATATTTAATTTGAATTGTTATTGTTACAATATAACCTGGTTCTGTAATATTGAAC